ACATTTTACTACAGCTTTGAATGCATTCTTGAGGTCTAGAATGTGCTGCCTGGGAGGGTAGTTGTGGTAGGAAACTTCACAACCTTTAAAAAGTACTTAGGTGAGCACTTGAAGTATCATAACATTCAAAGCTATGGGCCCAGTGCTAGAAAGTGGGACCAGTGCAGGTAGTAGTGTATTCTTGACAGTTCAGGCTCATTGGACTGAAGGGCCTCTTCTGTACTGTACTGTATGGTTCAATGATTCTGGGTCTGTTTCACAAATTCAGGTTTAGGCCAACAATACCTATTTTCATTCCTAAAATAAAACAAGAACTTCCAGCTGAAAATGAGCATTCACTTCATTGGCTGCTATATTGAAGGGTTAATCAAATTTCTAGGTTGCAATTACAAAAACAGAAAGTTCTGCAGAAACTCGGTAGGTCTGGCAGCAACTGTAAACAGAGAAACAGAGTTACCATTTCCAAGATCCTTGACTCTTCATCAGAAATGGAAAAGGCTGACAAGAGGGTAGTATTTAGGGGTGGAAGGAGTGAACAGAGTACATGGAGACAGAACCCAGACAGACAGAGAGAGAAGGAAAGAAGAAAAGCGATTGGCAAAGAAAGAGATTGCTGATGATAAACCGAGGCAGAGAGTGATGAATGCTAGGTAGGGTGCTAATGTGAAGCATAAATGGTTGAAAATGAGTTGGTTGTGCCAGGAACAACTCAAAAAAGATAGGACCTAGGGGTATGGCAAAAGAGTAATAAACATAGAGAAGGTGTTTACTTCCAAACATGATGCATACACATTTAAATGTATTAGAGATACATGCAGTCAAAGAAGATTACTTACGTCAAAGTACTCTCGGGTTTTCCTCGTCTCTTTTGCCAAAGTACTCCACGATTGTAAAATAATCTTGCACAAAAGCTGATCATTGACATGTTGTAAATGTTTCACTGCCACTAGAAAAAGAATAAATTAATAAATTATAAGAATGTAACAGTGAATGGACATTAGCGTAATATTTCTATCCATAATATGATTGCGTCATAGTAAAAGATCTTTAATGATCAGACTGAAATCAACATACGTTTGTGTAAGTAATAACATCTCATGTTTGTAAGCTCACATTTATGGAAGTTACAAGTCTCCAATTCCATTAACACCATTTTAGGAGCTTTCCAAAAGATAACTATAGGGTTTTCAGGAATCTCAATCTGATAACTACCCCATTTAGAGACGCCCAGTGCACTGCATTTTTGGGGTCATTTTCATCTTGCTCATAATAAGAGTTATCTTCCTTTCAATTCAAACCTTATATTAAGGTAATTGCCATCACCTAAGCAATGACAATTGACATTCACACATTTGATCAGATAAATAAATACTGTGAAAAGTTTTAAGGAATGTAACATAAATTTAAAGATAGAAGCTCAACAGCCAAGCATGCCGAATATTGTATGGCAGTATTCGCCTACAAAGCCTGTCTGCCAATGTTGGAAAGTAAAATAGCCATAACTCTTCTGTGGAGGGAGGGTCACTGAAACACTTTAGTGTTGTGATGGTTTTGAGGTCCTAAATCTCTCCCTAGGAAAACGGTACTAAATTATGACTTTCAAGGGAGCAATGACACGGAGATTTGTTTGATGGCTAATTAATAGTCATATAGGCAAGTACAGGGAAGGGTCAAATGAAGTATGGACCCAATAAACACTCCACAGCAGCCATTACACTGCTTCAGAAAAAGAGTAAAGACTGCCACTGAACTTTAAGTTGCATACTTCCTGAGGAGAACTGAAGGCCTGAGACCCAGGAAAGGGCACCGACTGCTTTTCTGGGGATGATATTGAAGTGATGCAGATGACAGTGGGGTTGAGGAAGGATGTCCTTTTCTCAGAGGGCAGCAGGACTGGATTGAAATAGCACCCATGTAAAACACATTATTGATGGATGAACAATTCCAGATCCAGGACGAAAAAAGGTTCAAAGACTTCTTATGCTCTGGAAAAGTAAGTGAACACCCAATTTCCAGGACTGGCCTCTGTGTACACATCCTCCAGTAGACACACCCAGTTGAGGACCTTCAGGATCAGAATTATAATGCTAAGGGCCTGTAACCACTGCTAAAGCAGGCTTCTATCAATTAGGGGCAGGTGTCAGTGTTAATGGAGGACAGTAGTCTGTTATCTGTTGTTTTTTAGCCTTGGAGGAGAAATGTAACAAATGCCCAAATACAGCCCAAACATCTGGAACGGGGTTATCCAAATAATTGAACCAATGGAGGATCACATCATAGAAATACCTAGGGTTAAGAATGAGAAAGAAGTTGGCCCTGCTGAAATTGGCACCCATGGTGCAGATGGTTAAAAAAGATGAAAACTCATTACAGGATGCAATGCACTTCAACCATGCAGAGGCTGGAACTCCCTTAAGCCACATCTCATCATCTTTTCTTATGTCTCTCATAGCTGCAAATATCCACATTGCAAGACAAACTCCCTCTCCCTCCACTTCCTCAGATGACAATGAGAAAGCTGCTAAAGCATCCTCACAGCTCACAAGCACAGTTGCTCTCCTTTTGGTTGGTCCTTGTATTCACATAGATGGCACAGATTTAGAGCATGGCACTAGTCTGTAGTAGAAAATGACAGAGAAAGTTGCAGCTGCAGTCAGTTTCCCCGTGGAATAAAGAGGACAGACCCAGTCTCATTGAGCTGGGCTCATTTGCAGAGTCTCAAGAGTCACAAAATAGAAGTCTCTATCTAGACCTGCATCAGGAAATGGCCACACCAGTTCCCTGAGGTATTTCGGGGTCAAGAACAAAGAATGACAGTGTTCATCCAGCTCATATGTGACACATTGTCTCAGGACTATGAACATATGTGTTTGTTCATAGACAGAGTGACCAATCTCAAGTACTAGCTAACTCAGTAGCATCTGGAGCACACGCAGGAACTGTGTGCTAATGTCTATAGAATACATGGCATACTATTCAGCCTGGACCAATCAGTGGCACTCATAGCACAGAAGTGTGGAGGGGTGCTGCTTATTATGAAACCAGAGTACCCTTCTGTTATCACAAGGTACTTGACATTTTAAGGGGATGTACCTTAAAAATGCTGTCAATCATTATCACTTCAACAGGATATTATGTATTAATTCCATGACTTGTATTCAGTTTATAGCCGGTGTAGAGATCAGATCCATGTAGGTAGCCTACGCATATAGCCTTATTTCAAATTAATAACCTACAACACATTCAGCACATCGACTGGAGCAGTTCAAGAAGGCAGCTTGCCACCAACTTCTCAGGAGCAATTAAGGATGGGCAATAAATGCTGATCCAGCCAATGACACCCATGTTCCATGAGCGAATAAAAAAATGGAAATGTTTTCCCAATCTTTATATATGGTTACCATAAATAAAGAACATAATATCCTCCAGGCATCAAGAGGGTGAGTCAAGGCATGAAGATGGTAAGGGTTCCAACCCTCCTTTGCTTTTCTGATGATGGGAGGCTCTGAGTAGGAGTGTCAAGTGATGGGGACCCTTTCAGCAATGACACAAGTGCAACAACCTCTGGTGATGCCCCTCCTGCCAATCCTCGATAAGAACAACCTATAAGCACATCTCAGCAGAAACAAGTTGCCTCCACTTCTTCTGGAACTGGTCAAGCAATGAGGCCACTGTAAATCATAGAATGCCTACAGTGTGGAAGCTGGCCATTTGACCCATCAGGTCTGCACCAACTGTCTGATAAGCATTCCACACAGACACATACCCCATACCCCATCCCTGTAACTCTGCATTTTCCATGGCTAATCCACCTGGACTGCACATCCCTGGATGCTTTAGCATGTCCAATCCACCCAACTTGCACACCTTTGGACTATGGGAGGAAACCAGAGCACCCAGAGGAAACCCACGCTGATACAAGGAGAACCGCAAACTCCATACAAACAGACTCCCGAGGTGGAATTGAACCCGGTTCCCTGGTGCTGTAAGGCAGCAATGCTAACCACTGAGCCACCCTGCTGCCATGTTCTGCAAAATGGGTTCTCCGGGATGTCTTTTTACAGTATATTCTGTCTGAGCACTGCGTTTTAATAATGACATATTAAGTCTCATGCACCTGAGACCTCTTTCATTGATAGCAGAACAAAAAGGTATAAAGTGATGGGTTCAAAGACTCCTCAATAAAGATAGCAACAGATTTAGTTCCTTCAGTGGCAGTAAGTGATCAGATGTTCCAGGCTGCATCTTACTTCATCTTGTGTCAGAGGAGATCTGTGAAACATTGCCAGATAGGATGTTAAACGATATTCATGGCACCCAGACAAAACCCTCACACTCCAAACAGCCACAGCAACTCATCAAGCTACATCCTCCATTGTCACCTGAGGGCTGCATGGTAGCTCAGTGGTCAGCACTGCTGCCTCACAGTGCCTGGGACCCGGGTTCAATTCTATCCTCGGGCGACTGTCTGTGTGGAGTTTTCATGTTCTCCCCATGTCTGTGTGGGTTTCCTCCCACAGTCCAAAGATGTGGAGGTTAGGTGGATTGGCCATGCTGAATTGCCCATAGTGTCCAGGGATGTGCAGGTTAGGTGGGTTAGCCAGGGGAAATGAAGGGTTACAGGGATAGGGTTGATCTGGGTGGAATGCTCTTTGAAGGGTCAGTATATTTCAATGGGCAGAATAGTCTGCTTCCAAACGTAGGGGTTCTGGTCTCTTCTATTAGCTTCTGCCCCATTATTTCCTTCAATGAGCTGTTGTCTTTCAGTTCATCACAGTTTTCAAGCTCCACACATCTTTGAAGAGCCATGTAATGAAGAAGATAACAGTCCACCATAACGACTAAAATACTTGGAGGAATGTATTATTGTGTTAACTCCTGACCAGTTCAGGCACCAGGCAAACAAATGCAGATTTAGAGGAAGGTCACGTTGTGGCCATGGAACAGTATAATATTGAGGGAGTGGAAGTGTTAGAAATGTGCATTTATGTTAACAAACTATATGGAGAACTGAAAGATATTAAGCTACTTGGTCAGTTTCTGGATTAAAAAGGGTTTTTAACCAGAAGTTTAATGGGAACACGTGAGGTTTCTCGGAAATTAAGGCAACAAATTAAAGTAGACTGCAAGTCATCTGTTAATTGCAGAAAGTCAAATGACTTGGGAAAATAACCAAGCAGAGATTTTTTTAAGGGAGATAATAGAGGGAGTTCATTTACAGTAATGGTGTGACTCGTACAGATGTGAGGCTTGATAATTAGTGCAGTCTTCCTGTCACAGTTGTAACATAATTTGGCAGCTCATTTGGAATACTGGACAAGGACAAAGGGTAATTGAACATGGGCTAATAATAATTGGTTAAGGATGAAAAAATGGTTACCAGGTTTTTCATTTTATAAAACCAGAATAGCATTGGAAGCCAAAACTAAGGCCAAAAGCTTCTCACAAGTGTAAACAGTATAACTGATTGGTTCACAAGATTTAACTAAGGCTAAGCTAATACAATTGGCAAAGGCATTAAAGGTGAAATTTCCAACAAAAGCTAATAAGGCAGAGATAATTGGTGTTTTAGAACAGAATTTGGATTTAGTGGAAATAGAAAAGGGTGTGAGTATTCAGAGTTAATTATAACTGAGTTACAATTAAAGCAGCTTGAATTTGATAAAGAAATTAAGCTGTTATAAAGAGGATTCCAAAAAGAGAGAGAAAGAAAATGAAACAGCATTGAAATTGACAGAATGGAAAGGTAAGTAGAGCTTAAGTGGCTGCAATCATTATTTAAGAACAGATAAAAGAATAAAGCGGGGAATTGAAAATAGAATACCAGCTTAGAAGGATGGAGTTAGATGAAAACATCTCTGAAGTAGATGAAAATTCTGATGAGGAAAAGCTTATATCTAACCAAAAGACCAGAAAGCAAATATTCAAATTTGCTCAGACCCTAAC